TTTTTTTTTTTTTTTTTTTTTTGTCTCTAACAGGAGTGTGACCAGGTTCACATAGATGATGTCGCTTCTGATGACAATGGACAAGACCTAAGGTGGTGGTCTACTGAGGAAGGGTGTGGAATTAATGACAAGCTTAAAGCTGCTCTGGTTGGGATGGTCTGGTGGGCAGCTTCACAGCTAAGCATTTCAGCATGACTCTGGCAGGATCCACTTCTGGGCTCTGTCATTGTTTGGGACCTTAAAGTGGGTAAAGTGGTCAATAACTTTCCTTTTGAGTGATGACGGCAGTTAAAGTTTTTGAGATGATGGATATCTTCTCATATTATTATAATTATTTCATTAAGCTTTGTTTGTGTGTTCAATATAATACAACTTTTAGAAAAACCAATGGTCCCAGCCTCCTAAATCGTGCCCTCTGAAAGCTTTGCAGAGGCCTTGACCAGATCCCATGTTAATACAAGTAGGTTGATGAATTGTCTTGGAAGATGAACAAGATCTGGTTCCATACAGTCATGTTTTATCACAAAGGTACAGTCTCCTAATTCCAGCTTCATGCTTTTCCTGTATTGGGACAGCATAAGAAGATAAGATGGAAATAGTCATTCTGTAAAGCAGGGGTCATCAAACTATGGGCCATGGATCAGATCTGGACCATGAAGTGCTTGCATCCAGCCCATGGTGGCATGGAGGATTGGCAGCATGCATCTTGGTCTGGTGTGTTCTCCCTCTATGCACTGCATTGTGCTGCTGATTTGTCTGCAGCACCCCTGCCCCCTCTCCCTCTCCTATAGCACCCACCACTCACTGTCACAACTAGATTTGGCCCTCTCCATGCTATTGGGGATGGAGATCAGCAGTGCATGATAAAGGCAATGGCAGACAGTGGAGGCAGCACCAGGTGGCCTGGGTGCAAAGGATGGGGGTAATGTGGAGAGGAGTGGGAGCCTATCACTCTAGAAAGTTGCCAACCCCTGCTATAAAGTGATGAATGTAGCCATGCAATTATACCCTTGTTTGGTATCTACGTTGTTTAGTCCTTTGAACTTCACTGTTGACAATCATAATGTAATGCACATTGAAAGGCATAATTTAAATGGACTTTCATTCAAAATTAACACCTGGGGAAGAAAGACTACATTATGATTGTGCAGATATCTATGAAAGCATCTTAGTGGAAAATTAAACCAAACAAGGTTAGGTTTAATTTAAAAAGTTGGAGGATTTATAATATCATGCTGAGCCTTGAATACTGTATTCAGTTCTCATTATATGTGACCTGACAGTAGAAATAGTACAAGCATTTTAAAGGGGAAATAAAAAAACATGTTAACAGATTAGTTTGACTGCGGTACAGTACCTGTAGACCTTTGGTTAAATACTTAATGAATCATAAATACATAGGGGAAAGAACTATTCATAGTAAGTAGCACAAGTTCAGAAAACCAGGAGTGTGGATGTATGACTCATAGAATCATAGAAATTTAACATTGGAAGGGATCTCAGGAGGTCACATCTAGTCTAACCCCCTGCTCAAAACAGGACCATCCCCAACTAGATCATTCCAGCCAGGCTTTGTCAAGCCAGGCTTTAACAATCTCCAATGGTGGAGATTCCACCACCTCTCTAAGTCAGCCATTCCAGTGCTTCACCACTTCCCTAGTGAGAAAGTTCTTCCTAATATCCAACCTAATCCCTCCTTGCTGCAATTTAAGACCGTTGCTCCTTGTTCATTTGCATCTGAGAACAGTCTAGCTCCATCTTCTTTCAAACCACCCTTCAGGAAATTAAAGGTTGCTAATAAATCCCCTCTCAGACTTCTCTTCTGCAGACTAAATAAACGCAGTTTCCTCAGACTTTCCTCAGAAGTCATGTGCCCCAGCCCCTGAACCATTTTCGTTGCTCTCCGCTGGACTCTCTCCAACTTGTCCACATCCTTTCTATTGTGGGGGGTCCAAAACTGGACACAGTACTCCAGATGTGGCCTCACCAGTGCAGAATAGAGTGGAATAATTGCTTCCCTCAGTCTGCTGGCAGCAAGAACACACTGCTGACTCATATCTTTCTTATTGTCCACTTTAACCCTCAGGTCTTTTTCTGCAGAGCTGCTGCTTAGCTAGTCCATCTGCAGGCCATGGGATTCTTCCATCCTAAGTGCAGGACTTTGCACGTGTCCTTGTTGAACCTCATGGGATTTCTTTTGGCCCAATCTTCCAGGTTGTCTAGGTCACTGTAAATCCTAGCCCTACCCTCCACTATCTACTAAACCCCCTAGCTTGGTGTCATCTGCTAACTTGCTTGAGGGTACAATCCATCCCATCCTCCAGCTCGTTAATAAAGATATTAAACAAAACCAGCCCCATGAGCAACCCCTGGGGCAGTCCACTTGATACTGGCTGCTGGCTAAACATTGAGCCGTTGATTACTACCCATTGAGCCTGACAATCCACCCAGCTTTCTATCCATCTTACAGTGCATTCATTCAACCCACACTTCCTCAGCTTGTTGGCAAGAATTCTGTGGGAGACCGTATCAAAAGCCTTGCTAAATTCAAGGTATTTTATGTCCACTGCTTTCCCCACATCCACAGAGCCAATTATCTCATCAGAGAAGACAATCAGGTTCGTCAGGCATGACTTGTCCATGGTGAATCCATGGTGACTGTTCCTAATTCTCCTTCTCCAAGTGCTTAAATGGATTCTTTGATGACCTGCTGCATGACTTTTCCAGGGACTGAGGTGAGGCCGAATGGTCTGTAGCTCCCTGGATCCTCCTTCTGCCCTTTCTTAAAGCTGGGCACTATATTTGCCCGGGCATGCCAGTTTCTGGTTGTCTGGGACCTCCCCTGATCGCCATGAGTTTTCAAAGACAATGGCCAGTGGCTCTACAGTCACATCAGCCAACTCCCTCAGCACCCTCAGATGTATTGCATCTGGCCCCACGTACTTTTACACATCCAGCTGTTTTAAATGGTCCCAAACCTGTTCTTTGACCACTGAGGGCTACTCACCTTCTCCCCAAACTGTGCTGCCCGGTGCAGTAGTCTAGGAGCAGACCTTGCCTGTGAATACCGAGTAAAAAAAGGCATCAAGTACTTCAGCCTTTTCTTCATCATCTGTTCGCTAGGTTGCTTCCCCCATTCAGTAAGGGACCCACACTTTCTCTGATCTTTCTTTTGTTGCTAACGTACTTGTAGAAACCCTTCTTATTGCCCTTCATGTCCCTTGCTAGTTGTGCCTCCAATTGCACTTTGACCTTCCTGACTTCATCCCTGCATGCCCTAGCAATACTCTTATACTCCTCCCAAGTTGTCTGTCCAAGCTTCCGCTTACTGTAAGCTTCCTTTTTGTGTTTAAGCTCACAGAAGAGCTCTCTGTCAAACCAAGCTGGTTGCTTGCCACATTTGCTATTCCTTCTGTACTTTGGGGTGGTTTGTTCATGGACAATCAGTAAGTTTTCTTTAAAATACAGCCAGCTCTCCTGGACTCCTTTTCCCCTCAAACTGCCCTCCCAGAGGATCCTGCCTATCAGTTCTATGAGGGACTCAAAGTCTGCTTTTCTGAAGTCCAGGGTCCTTACACTGCTGCTCTCCTTTATTCTTTTTGTTGGGATCCTGAACTCAGTTATCTCATGGACACTGCTGCCCAACTTGCCATCCACTTCTGTATCCCCCACCAATTCTTTCCTGTTTGTGAGCAGTAGGTGAAGAAGAATATGGCCCCAAGCTGATCTCTCCAACACTTGTCCCATGAAATTGTCGCCAGTACTCTCCAAAAACTTCCTGGATTGTCTGTGCACTGCTATATTGCCCTCCCAGCAGATGTCAGTGACTGAAGTCCCCCATAAGAACCAGGGCCCGTGATCTGGAAATTTGTTAGTTGTCTGAAGAAAGTCTCATCTACTTCATCCTCCTGGTCACCACAACATCACCCTTGTTTTTCTCCCTTCTAAACTTAACGGAGAGACTCTCAACAGGCCTATCTCCAATTTCATACTGGAGCTCTGAGCAATCATACAGCTCTTTTACATACCGTGCAACTCCTCCTCTTTCTCTTCTCCCCTGCCTGTCCTTCCTGAACAGTTTGTGCCCATCCATGACAGTGCTTCAGTCACGTGAGCTATCCCACCAAGTCTCTGTTATGCCAGGCACATCATAGTGCTGTGACTGTACAAGGACTTCCAGTTCTTCCTACTACAGGCAGCCCCAGCTTAATGCTGTTTCACTTAGCGCTATTTCGCTATAATGCTAATTTTAAATTGATACCTGATTTCACTTAGCACTTAGCAAGTTTTGTTATAACGCTCACAGTCATGATCTTGGGTCATTAAAAACCATTGCAGTTGCCATCTTGGGTCATCAGATACTTCCGGTTTTGCTTAATTCTTACTTCATTTAATGCTCGGTTTTTCAGGAACTGATTAAGAGCACTAAGTGGGGATTGCCTGTAGTTTCCCAGGCTCTGTGCTTTTGTGTACGGTCACCTGAGGTAACTAGTTGATTGCCCTGATTTCTCAGGAAGTATGAGAGCACGTCCCCTCTTGCCCCCTCCTGCTTGCTCTTCCTCCAGGTCTCCCACTTCCCCTCTTACTTTGGGGCTTTGTTCTCCATCCCCGGTGAACCTAATTTAAAGCCCTCCTCACTAGGTTAATAAGCCTGTCTGCAAAGGCGCTCTACCCGCTCTTCTTCAGGTGGATCTCGTCTCTTCCTAGCAAGCCTTCTTGGAACAACATCCCATGGTCAAAGAAGCCGAATCCCTGCCAGTGACCACCTGCACAGTTGTGCATTGATCTGCAGGATGCATCTGTTCCTGCCAGGGCCTTCCCCTCCAGAAGGATTGAGGAGAACACGACCTATGCCCCTATCCCCTTCACTCTTGCACCCAGAGCTCTGTAGTCACTCTTGATCTGCTCAGGGTCACCCCTGGCAGTATCATTGGTGTCCCCCTATCATGGGGTAGTAGTCAAGAGGGCCGGACAAGTCTCGGTAATCCTTCTGTGACATCTTGGATCTGAGCTCCAGGCCAGCAGCAGATCTCTTGGGACAACAGGTCAGGCCAGCAGGTGGAGCTCTATGTCCTCCGTAGAAGGGTGTCTACAACCACCGCCACCCATTGCTTCCTCTTCATGGAAGTGGTCTTGATCCTCCCCACCTTGGGGATTCCTAGCCTGGCCTCTTCCACCAATGGAATATGCTCCTCCTTCTCTGTTGCTTACCTTCCATATCTGATCTCCAAGCAAACCACTGCACGTGGGGATGACAACTTCTTGCTTCCAGAAGATACAAGCTTCCACCTTCCTGGGACCACACATGCTCCAAGCCCTTCCTGTTCTAGCACCATCTCAGGCAGTCCTTCCTCCACAGTCCTAGAGGTTTTCTCCAGCATGGAATTGATGAAGTCCTCATGGTGGAGGATGCTTCGAAGCTTTGCTACCTTCTCTTGTAGCTCTTTTACCTTCTGGACATCACCAGAAGGCACCACTCACGCTGCAGGCACTCCCCCACCTGGTTGACACCGGAATCTACAAGCTTCAGTCTGCACAGCACAAAACCAGGACCTGGGTGGAAGCCTCAATGGTGTGTGGTCTTGCCTGGACAGACACCTCACTGGTGGAAGCAGAGGAAGAGCTGGAAGGTAGCAGCGGCTCTGGTATTGCAACGTCCTGCAGTCATGCCTCTGGGTCTTCTAATTTGCAGCCTCTCACTTCATGCTTCTCTTTCCAAGCAGACCTTCCCTAGCAAACTCCTCAGTAGCTCCTCTGTAGCTGGCCTGTTTGCTGTTCCATGGTAAAATTAACAATTTACTGTGGGGTGAAATGTGCGGGTTTACTGCATGTAAGCTGCTCTGTGGATTGTGCCTATGTGCCCATTCTTACTGTGCAGGAGGTAGAAGCCAAACTGCAGAAGCTTGCCCTCATATAAATCCTTCATTTACTTTGGGTGACTGCTGGCCTAATCCACCAGTTGATGGAAGAGAAACAGCACAGTAAATATAAGTTATGAAAATGGGGAACTTGGATTAAAAGAAATGGACTGTGGGTGAATTGCTGGGTGACAGGCAGCAAGATCTTAGAGAGAATCATCAAACATGTAGCTTGTGAGATCCTGCAGGAAGTTGCAGTTTTTGTGTACTACTTAATTCAGCGCCTCCCCCCCCAATGCACACAATGATTGGGGGTGTCTATAGGGCTAAATCAGACTGAGTCTTAGATATCCAGCTTCAGCATTATTAGGTTCTAAAAACATATTTGTTAGTTTAAACAACTTTATTAGGACTTTGTAGGTTAAAAAATAAATATCTCAAAACCCCAAGCATCAGCATACAAACAAGTGTGTGTGTGTGTGTAAAGATTTCAGTAAAATAGTGTCATCTCCTGCCTTGCACTGGGAGATGGTGTTGGTAATGCTGCATATAGTCCTGCTGCCCTTGCTCAACAAAAGTTTGAGAAATGAGGGTTCAGAGGAGGAAAAGTCCAGTTAGAGGATGTGCAAATGTCCAATGTAATTTCTTTAAAATGGGAGGGGAAATTGCTTGCGTGAGCCTGTAGCTAAACAAGTTAGCCAGATCACCTTAACGCTAACCCTAAAACAGAGTTAAAGTTGTAGTGGGGTTGCTACACTTGCATCCCTATAGAACCATGCATATAAGAGTTGCATCTCACAGCTTATATTTAAAGCTATCCTTTGCTATTGATAAACTCATTGGGTCTGACCTAGAAAGGATGAGACATGAAGAGAGTGATGATACTTAATTATTGTAAGTGGTTGAAAGGGAATGTAATGCTACACATGTATAGGAGGTATAATTAGATAATGACAGAAAGTTTACTTGTGGTGGAGAGGTGGAATAATTAAAATGTTCTGTTGCTATTTCACCTGCAAGAGAAGTATATTGCAGGTGAACTGACTGAAGTATATTACTTGACTTCAGTGTATTGCCAGGAAGCGCACACAATCTCTATCTCCAGAGATGGCATGTGATGAAGTAGGCTGTCATCTACAAAAGCTCATGCTTCTTTGAACCAGTTATTCTCTAAGGTGTCACTCTGGCCTACTTTTCTGCCTGTCGTCAATAATGTAAGACTAGCTGTGCTAAGGAAATTCCTGCCTGCTGCACAGGGAAAACTTGATCAGTTATGAACAGAGTATGAAATTAGAACATCCCCAGTTAGGTGGCTTTAAAGCCAGCCTGTCACTACAGCATGCGTAACAGGTTTGTTTTTCTGATATAGCAACTACAGTTTCTCCACGGATGGGTTCACTGGCTCAGCAAGCAGTACAAATAACAGCTCGTCAATGGGTGTCCAAGGTGGAGGGGACTGGATGAGAAAGCTGGCTTTCCGCTATCGCAGAGTGCGAGAAATCTATAACAAATACAAGGGCAATGTCGGAGGTGAGTACAGAGACTGCACACATGCACAGAAGGCAGAAGAATTTAAATCACTAATTGATTTAAATAACTAAGCAAAAAGTCTCAGTCTAAATAATCAAATGTGTAATCAAGTTTTTCATTTGTACATCAGTATTTTCTGAAAAAAAGATGTGTTCTCGTTTGATATAGCTTTTATTTTAGATTTGACAAATCTTTTTCCTGTCAGAGAGGGTACATTGTAACGGTATACATGTATTACATCAGTTATATAGTTTAATA